GCAGCTGACCAAGTTACTGGTAGCAAACAGCATCCCTGACTGGGGTGAGAGCCCGCTAGGAGCAAAATGCTGTAGGATAACCCCCCTGCTCTGTTCACCTCCTCCTGGCTGCCAGGACACCGAGCATGCATCCTTGTTCAGGAGGGAAGAGGTCGGACAACTTCTGTCCTAACCATGTTCCTGGTCAGTTGGTCTCATGCTGTCTCATTAGCCCTGGATCGCTGCCACTTCCTAGTGTTTGAGGTAGAATGAATGGGTAAGGCAAGCAAGATACTAGCAAATACTTCGTCTTAGCTACGGCTACCCTTACCCCAGGGTTACTTCCTCTACATTTAAGCAAAGACCAAATATGCATTCAGACTGCTTAGTGGCTCACCATAATCCCTACTGGTCCAAGACACCCAATTAAGTGGCACAGCACGTAAAAGAAATGTACACCTCCTGACACGGGAGCCAGAGAGAGATTCTCCAGTGGCTTTCATCAGAAACATGATTCACCTCCATCTGAGCATGGTAGGATAAAGCAAGAGGAGCAACTTGCTAGAAAGTTTCCTTCGCAAAGGGAGAGGTCACCTGAGAAGTATTTTTGTTTTTTCTTAAAGCCGCTAGTTCACCATTGGCTAAAACCAAAGTGTCTCAGCTGTTCAGATCACGAGCATGGGAAGCAGCAGAGCTGCACGCTTGGATCTATGAAGGGTAAGAAAAAACTCAGCTGGGCCTCAAGTTCCCAAAAGAAATAGCGAGAGAGATGAGACTCTCCCAACAGACAGACTGGATTTGTTGTAAGAGGCCAAAGAGCTGCTCTCACGAGAGGGGCTAGTCCAGGAGCCTGGACAAAACTGGCCTGTTCAGCAGCGCAGCTCCCATGTTAGTCAACAGCAGTTTTAAGTGCTTGGGAACACTGGAAAACAGAGGAGGCCATTTCCACTGAGGAGCCTGGCAAGAGATCTCAGGAGCCCAACCCCAGGAACACACAGTTTGCACGTTTTGCTCTAACGACCAACACAGATAGGTCTTCCACGAGATTCACAGCTGGCGAACACTGGCCACAGGTATCAACGTCTTCAAGTACAGCAGCAACAGGGGCTAACGGCAGTGCATCGGTGCAATGGGCTGGGGAAGGGACGCGATACTCCTTGCACCACAGCCCCTGCTTTTCCTATGTTTTTTTTTCCCCTAACGGAAGTGCTGCAACGTAACTGCTTATATGAGATGGTAATGCGGACTATAATGGCTACCTTTTATTCACAAGTCGTTGACTTCAAAGGCTCAGCCTTGTACATCATCTAGCTGGGGTACAAACACACACACAGCGCTGGCGTAGAGCCCCAGGGGGTTGTGGGAGGCTGCAGGGCTAGCTGCCAACCATAAGCTTGCTCTAAAAAACAGTCATGAAAAGCCTCTCCAAGGAAATGAGGCTGGGCGCGTTACGAGTCCTTTCCAACACCAGAGAAGCCATGTAATGAGCTTTGGTTTAGCTCCTAAATGCTCAGCAAACACCTCACCTTAAAGCAAAGCAAAGCAAAGCAAAGCCTTTTGCCGGACCATGGGAAGGTAAGAAGAAGCACCTTCAGGAAACCAGTAGCTTATTTTGTGAGCATGATCTTCTGGCCAGACACAGGAGTGGAAGTAGGACACGAGCCTCCTGAGATGCAATGGATAAGAGAAGGAAGGCCATGCAATACTCAGTGAGGAAGTCGCCCACTTAACTCACCTCTAGTAACCACATTTTAATCAATATTAAACCTCACAACATTACTCAGGCACACTGAGAGCCTACAGGCTTCCTTCATTGCTGCTAATGTCTTCTTGCCAATATTTCAGGTCAAGGTACAAACTGTGGCACTGCAGTATAATTTGGGGAACATTTTCAAAGACTGCAGGGGTAGGTGTGTCGATAAGTTCTTCTTTGGCAGCTTAAGTCTTTGCCTGGCAGAAACTGCCCCTTCCCCAGCCCAAAAGAAATGGATCACCTCTCCAGTATGAAGAAAGGGAATGCTAAGCACAGACGCACAGGGTCACGAATGAGAAGACGGTCGCGATCTTTCCCGAGAGGAAAATAGCTCGGAAAGGAACTTCCACCCCACTACAAAATGAAGAGGCCCAATTCAACAAGGAACAAGCATCTTAGTATGACCTTGGTGAGTGGACACAGGGACACCCATCACGCAGCCCAACCCTTCAATAGAGAACATGCTTATTTAAAAAAATTACTTAGGAAAACATCCCAGCTGGAGAGAGACTCGTTTCTCCCCACCGCCTGATCCTTAACAGGGCAAGATTTGTCCGGTCTTTCTGACCAAGCATTTCTCTCCCCAGAATCTGCGATAACAAGCTTGAGTTACTACACTCAGACCAAAACAGCATGCATGGAAACACCGTGCGGCAAACCGTGCCCAGAGAACAGGATCTGACACCAAACCCTGCTCTACTTGATCTTTTCACTCACCTGCCTCAACTCACGCAGCATTCGACCCCAATGCATTTCCAGCTAACCTGTTTGTATATATTGTGCTAGTGTCAAGGTGTAGTACGGTTAAGGCACCAAAATCCAAGATTCCTCAGAGATTAGCCTGAATAGATAAAAAGCAGCTCCAGTTTTAAGGAGAAAGGCATCCCGCCTGAAGAGCCTGATGATAAAGTGGGGACGTGTTGAGTGGAAATCCTGCTGTAATGGCTGGCCCATACACAACCAAGGGTGGATTTTTTAGGGCACATTTCTATGTATAGCCACAAAGTATAGTTGATTGCGACGCATAGCTACGCTCACAAACCATGCGCTAAAAGGAACCAAAAATGCTGCCCCAAAAATCAGGAAGCAGATGGATTCTCACAATGTCCCTCACCCCGGTCCATAAATGCAGTAATACTGCCATGATGGGGAGATGCCATAAAACACAGAACACCCACAACACCATACTTCAAGTTTGGGGACTAGAAAACCCCTTAGCATGAATGTTGATGGATGAATCACCCACGTGCTTCATGGTCCGTCAATACATGAACGGGGAGGGGACAGGAAGCCCCACCTCAGCTCTGTATCACTGCCGCTAGCAGGCTTTTCCACTTGAAAAATGTTCCACGGGTATTTAAACATTGTCCCCCATTTCCAAGGCTTGGTTCAGCTTTCCTTATGTTTCCTGTGCAACTATGATTTAAATTAATCTGCCCATAATTATTATAATTCATTCAATAGCTACAGCGTCAAAAATTCAAGAACAACATAATTCCTCTGTACATGTAGGCTTCTCCTGTGCAAGGTCAGTAAATATACATGAGTAAGCTACTTTATTAAATAATGTCTGAAAGGGGACTCCCCCCTCTCCCAGATTAAATGCCTTTCTCCAGTCCAGATTTATAGTCATGACACTTCAACACAAAACTTGCTGTCATTTCAGCCCCCAAAACTCAAACAAACATGATGTTAAACACAAGAAAGAAGGAAGCAGCAGTGAGCTCTCCCTGCATCAGCTTGTTTCCCTGCTCTTTGCAGGGTGTACCTCTCTGATCTCTTATACAACACCACCTAGAAGGTTTGAGTTCAAAGTAAAAAACAACCTATTTACAATAAATGTTGTGAAATGGCTTCTGAATTTTACATTTCATAATTCCCATGACAATGATTCAAACGTACAAAAGAAAAAAAATGTTAAATAGTAATTACAGCTAAGTTTTCCTAATGCAGATGACTTGTCACCAACAGAAGGAACACGCTGTGACCAAACTACTACCCATGTTTTACAATATCCATGTCTGAATGAATTTGTTCCCATGGTAAAATTACATATGAACACTCTGCTGTGCTTGTTCGCTTCCGGATGCAGCCTGTCCAGAACGCTGGGTTTAGGCTGCATTCTTCATTCAAGCACAAGTCTTCATTAAATAAAAGTGAACAGAAAAGAAAATCGGCATTCAAACTTCACCACCACACAGTTCAACAAATTAACAACTAAAGCCAATCAAATCAAGTGTGTGAATAGTAAACAGAAATAATCTCCTTGGATGAGATGTGTGGTCTAGCTATCAGGACAGTGATGTCAAAAATAAATCTATACTTCAAGTAATCTCCATTCTTTCCCCCAAATACCGTATGTATAGAAGTGTGCAGTCATGACTGGTAAGGTGTTTTTCCAAGCTGTGGGATTTGTCACTATTTGAGTACCTGGAGGGGATGTGTGTGTCTGAATGCAGGCACAGCAGACCAGAGATAGCGCTGCCACAGATCTAAAGTTAGAAGAGGTCCAGATACCTTGCAATGAGCCACCAACCCACCCCTTAACAAGCAGGTCATACTAGTGTCACAGAAGGGAAGATCTAGCCCTGCATAACTGTTGCAGGCTGCCATTGGGCACTTGCTACCCCGAAGATAACCAGTGCCGTTAAGCTCATGGGAACACACAGACCTGCAGCATTCAAAGAACGCACACAGGAAACGTGCAGTCAGCAAGGAGAATACTGTTAGGATGTGGTTCAATTAAGCACAGCTGGAAAAACAAGAGGGGAGCGGGGTTGGGAAACGGGAATAAAGATGCTTTGACCATTGTTATTTCCAGTGAAATGCCTCAATTTCTGAGTTGGATATCATTATATATTCCTAAAAAGAGTATTTGAATGGATGTGTGCACAAATGTGCAAGAGGGTACAGCAACACAGAGGGAAACAAATTCAACGGTCTGTCCTGGGCAACCATGCAGGGACAGAGGTCACCTTGTGCTAGGTAGCCAGACATGGGATCCAGTGTATCACAAGCCTTTGCATACCACCAGGATGTTCCTCACTGGCCTCATGGCTCAGGCAGCACTGTTATGGATGCCTCAGGCCCTCTATTCTAACTCAGCTGCTACGTTACTTCTGATGACTTCCAGCAGTCACCTTTGAGTAAAGCGATCCATGTTCCCGAACCAGCTTTACCTGAACAGTTAGGACTTGAGGTGTCACTGGGAACAATCAACTGGTCTGAATATACAGAAATAGCTTTGAAGGCTACTCGCCTTACTGGATCCCATCCATACCCATGTGGTACAAGAATGGCAGTTGGGGCCAGACCTCGTGCCCAGCCCTCCCTGCCGATGCTGGATACCACACACACGCTGCCCCAGTGTCTGTCCAGAGGATAAATTTAGATCTGTGGTGATGGTTGAAGTATTTACAGGATATTTGCAGCAGTTATTTACAGTACTTCTGCAGCCTGCAGGCCGATTTTCTGTTCTTCCACTTCTAGTCAATCTGTACTGCGCTTCTTTAGTGAGAAGGGTCGGATATTGAAATGCTTGCTTAGCTGGTTCACCTGGGGATGAGAATAATCACAGGAAAGCAACGTGAGCCATCTCAGCTTCAGACAGGTAGGGGGATATGAACAGGTGTGCACATGGGAGACCACAATTAGGCACAGGGAGCCCCCAGCCACTATTGCAGGCCATGGAGGAGTGGCTGTGCCCAGTCTGGAGACCACTTAAGCTCCCTTCAAACCATTCACTCCTGGGTTCCTCATTAAAGGTTTAATACTTTCAGAAGGAAGAACCTGGCAGGCAGGGGGTAAGCCTCATCAGCTTTAGCAATTTGAGTCCCCTGATCCCAGAACTGCAACCAGTACTCTTCAGAGGACTGAAATACTCACACTCCCCAAGTTGGGCACTTACGGCCCAACCTGTCCACCAGGAAGTCTGTTCCCAACCCTCCCCAGTCAGCAGCTGGTTTTACCCCATAGCACTGCTGAGTATCTGCACCTTCTAAGTTGATCTGCACACTGCCTAACACAATTTAATAGGTCTCAAACATTTAGGTGAATATTTGTTTCCTGAATCATTTGAAGCTATTGACTCAAAATGCTACCAGCCATGCTCAAAAAAAGATGAGCTTATACTGGAGCAGGGACAGGGGAATGAGTCACTTTTGTGAGAGAACAGAGATCTCAATTTGTTTAGACCAGGAAAACAAAGGCTGACATGGAAGACAATGGCTGCTCAAATACCTGAGGGAAATGCACATCACAGGAGATGAACTGTGGGGGTACAAGGGCACCTAGGAATAAACTGGCCATGAACAGTTTCAGGTTGGTTGTTCATGAGCCACATGAACATGCAGCAGGGCCTGGCTCACCTTTTATCTACAGGTGATACTCAGAGGAGCAGCACACGACCTTCCTCAGGCTCTGTGCTATCAGTGTCCTGTGGACATCTAGCGGACATCTAGTACATAGATTTGTACTTTATAGATAGACAGATACCTTTGTCTGTCTGTCTCATGACCTTGAGCTCACTTCATCACTTCATGACCTTGAGCTCACTTCATCAGATACTGTGAAGGGACAGCATGACGCAGTGTATAAAGTGCAGTGAGTGATCTGAACACAAAAAGGTGGGGATGGAGGAAGGGGGCAGCAAACAAGAGAAGAATCTATACGAACAAAAGCTAATCCAGGTAATGGGATAAAACGCCACAATCCCCATCTAAACCATGCTTAACACACTAGTCTGTGGATGATTTCTTGTTCTGCAAGTTCCCATTTATATCTGTTTTTAAAGATTTGCTGCCTGAGAACAGCCATCCTGAGGTCAGCAATAGAATGCCCAGGGACGATAAAGTGATCTGCCACAGGCCTTTGTTTTTCTGCAGCTGATGCCATATCGGTGTACATTCATTCTTGCATGTAGAGATTGCCTTGCCTGTCTTGTGTAGAAAGCAGATGGGCATTGTAAGCAGGTGATGGTGTATAAAATGTTAGTAATACTGCAGGTAAAAAATGAGCCTTAGACGTTCTACCCTTTGTTACTCGGCCCAGTGATGACATGGTCTGTATTGAGGTGGGGGCACAATAGGCATTTAGGTTCATTGCAAGGATACATTCAAATAACTCACTCCACTTTACATGCTGCTCTACACTTGTCTTTTCACACCATCTAATAAAGTGAGTTTGAATTTGCAAGAGCTTGTGCTCTACAAATACCTTATTTAATCTATAAAGGCGAAAATCTACCCTGCCTTCTGCCCGACTTCAGACTAACACAGTGAACTACCTCCCTCTATAAGGGTCCTGCCACCAGATAGCAAAAAAAGCAGGACATTGGTATGTAATGCAGAAGGACCTGTGCCAAGAGGCTGCATGCCTAAGCTCTGAAGACAGCTTTCATCATCCCTGTACGGCCCCTTCTCATGCTGACCTTCAAGAGGCCAGCTCATTTCCTCCAGGGACAACATGGTGTGTGGCCAGGGTCCTGCAATCAGGAGCTCTGCTTTTTAGATGAGATTAGGGAAA